TTTTGACTTCACTGTAGAATGATAGCTTTCTAGAATCTTTCACAAGAGAACCCCAGGAATCACGGAATAGTTTTCGGAGGTTCTCTGTCATCAATTCAGGGCTGCAGGAGTCCGCGAGGAAGGTTGCGTTGAGCAACGATGATGAATTCCTGTCAGGAAGGTCGATGTTGTTAAATGACTCACAGTGGGCTACCATGCTAGCATAGGCCTAAAATCGACTTTCTTAAATTTCTTTGAAAATAAGCTTTCCTTATTGTAAAACGCTAGCCCGATTTCATGCAAGAAACCGTAATTAAAAACTTTGCAAGATGCCAAAATGGCGTCGCGTGAAAAAATAGCATTTTTCACTGTCAAGAAATTTTGCCTTTTTTAGCCAAAAATTGCCTAATATTTATTATTTCGGGCTAAAATGCCTGATCAAGGCAGTTTTTAATAATTGAAATATAGTATAGTACTTAAGAATACTCAGCCATCTAAAAAAAACTGTGTGACTTTAACATTTTCACCTGATTTTTGACCGCGCCTTTTTTATGGCGTGTATTTTAGGCAATTTTTGGGGTATTTAACGACAGAAATCGTTGTTGGTTTGCAATAGTTCGGTATAATGCATGGTATCATCAGAAAGCTTAGGCAATTCCCTATCAGATGCAATAAGAATCACTTTGGGAACTTTTGGGCAACTCTGTTTACAAAATTAAGAAACTCAAAAATTGGGTAAAATTTGCTGCATTTTTAGATAATTTATGAGCTCAATTTTGCTATTAAATTGACATATTTTAGTTATTCTCGATCTCCATGTTTGTGGCATTTTTTGCATCCTAGACCAGATGCATATGGATGAAAAATCAAAATATCACAATTATTATAGTTAAAATTGATAAAAATCCAAAAAATCGTGATTTTAAACGAAATTTTTGAAAATAACAGGAACAATTTTGGTGTTTCAGAAAATTTTGGTCATATAAATGGGCACAACTTTTGTTCTGATCAATATTTTTTCATAATTCAAAAAGATTCGAGTTCCTAAGATAGCTGTCATTCGTTTACAGTTCATAAAAGAGCTTTAAAATTGATTAAACCTGTAAAAAAACAACTTTTCCTGGGATCAGCCTCCTATTTTTGGACTACAAGATTGCTCAAAATCGGCCCAAAAATTTTTTCTGAGACATTTTCGGCCCTGTAAATGATTGGAATCGTATTTTTGTACCCAAATTACCTTAGAAACAAAGTTAGGGGCATGTGTGGTGGTCTAAAATACCCTATGCTAGCATGACCCCCACTCACAGCCCACTGTGTGACTTGATAACTGATTCGATGCCTACAAACCATGACAATTTGAGGTTAATCTGCTCAGTCATTGCAGCTTTGACCAGTTGTGTTGGGGGAAGGCTCATAACTCTTTTGAAGTATTTAGTACTCAGTTTCAACATCTCAATTATAATTGGGTATGAGCCAGTTTCTCCCCAGGCTGTAGCATTGACTGCCCTTCTGTTAATACCAAGAAGGTATTTGAGGTGACGTAGGTGCACTTGCTCCAGTTTCTGTTTTGCGATGTGGGAGACTGCATGATCAAGGTTGTGAAACTTGCTGAAGCAAGAGAGGACCTTACTGACGGTGGGTAGAACTGGGGCCCAAACTTGACAACCGTATAGTAGAATAGGCTTGACAAGGGTGTCAAATAGTTTGTTAAGGCATGATGCGTCAATGTATCTCCGGTCTATGGTGCTTCTCAAGCTAAAGTAAGCTCCAAGTCCCTTACGGTAGAGAGAGTCAGTTGCCTGCCGAAATTTCCCTGTGCTGCTTATAATGATTCCAAGATAGCAGTAGCTGGAGACCATCTCTATATCTCTGTCATGAATAGAAGGACGCCAGTTTGGAATGTCAGGTCCTTTACCGTTGAAGACCATGAATTTGGTTTTGGAGATGTTGATTTCCAGACCCCATTCGATACAGTAGTCACCAATGATCGAAAGCAACTTTTGGAGTGATTCAGGATCTAGGGCGAGGATTACTAGATCATCAGCCCACGCTAGGTGAGTCACTGAGATACCAGCGAGAGTTGGGCAGTTCACAACGGCTTCATTGAGGAGGTCAGAAAGCTTTTTAAAGTAGACTTTGAAAAACTCGGGGCTGAGTGGATGTCCTTGTTCAGTCCCTTTGAGGATCTTGAATGCTTCACTGATTTTACCATTCATCTTGATATGACCCTCTGATTTACTGTACATGTCTTTGATGATGTCGTAGTAGCCGCCATTGACGCCAATGGCGGCTGGTAAATAAAAATTTTTCTTTCCTAAAAAAAATTTTTCTTTCCTAACACAGTAGCGCATCTCGCCAATCTAGAGATCGCTGTGAGAAGCCTCATTGAGTGCGCGGCGCGGCACAGTAACGCATCGCGCTACAAGAAACCATATAATTACAAACTTTGAAAAAATTCAACTAAATACCTTTGATATTAATTTGTAATTATTCTGATCAAATTTTTGTTTGTCAAAATATAATTGGATCCTGTTCATATTACGAGCGTGTTAAATCACTCTACAGTCGATCTTCGAGATTGTTCTAAAAGGGCCCCCGACAGTTAAAACCAACTTGAATCGATGTATTTTCGGACACTGATTCCGAATCACCTCTCATGACATAGGGTTAAAATGCTCCCATGGCGAGATATTGGCGAAAAACTGTCTCGATCACGTGATATGACCGTATAAGGAAGTTAGTATAATTTCTCGTTAGGGTTAGGGTTTCAGCGTTGACATACGTTGCATGCCACTTTTCGCGCGCAAAGCGCGCGCCGCCGAAGGATACGAAACATGTATCAATTTCAGCGTATGCCTTTGTTAAGGATTGGGTTTGGGTTAGGGTTGGGATCAGATTAGAGGGTCAGGGTTTTGAATAGTCGTTCAGGGCCAGCTAGAGAACAGGTTGAAGAAGTCACGTGACAGTAGAGTGTAGAGTGATTAATTATCATCATTTATATTATGATAAGTATACTCCCAACCCGCCGCTTTGGTGTTTGGCGGGTAGTTGATTCACCTTTCACAAGTAAAAGCCACTTTGGTTTTCTTCCTGTGAGGTGTCTCAGTTACATGATAAGTATCATACAAACTTAATTTGAAACTGAAATTATTTGCAAAGTATCATTCAGCAGATTTTGCTATTTTCAAAACATAAAGTAGTGCTGACTCTGCCAAGAAAAAAAATGAACTTCGTGTTTTAATGGAAGTAAGGAGCATCGTTCTTTGAGAAGCAGAATTATTGTTATTTTTTTCGATCAGAGTAAAAACGAAAATTAATTTTGTGTCATCTGGTGAACTTTTGTAACATCTGACCAACTTTCAGTGAAGATCGATTATGGTGCTAGTCAACAAGATTGAAAAAAAAAATCTTGTGTTGCCACTGTGTTTTGTAATTTGAAAGAAATCTCTCAAATTATTATTGGTGGTTTTTCACTTTGTCTTGTTAGAAAGCTCAGTCATCAGAGTCCAGGGCTTGGAGAGTAGGAGGACTTGTAGGTGGCACTAGAAATTATGGAATTAGAACCCTAACCATAACCCCACGAATGTAATTTCTTGCCACTTCGTCAAAATTCAGTGTTTTATATTATTTTAAAAACATGCCATTAAATTGCCATTTCAGTATTTAGCGTTCCTTAGATTTTTCTGGGATTCCTCTGCGCTTCTTGGTGCACAACATAATTCATGCCACTGAGGAATCCAAGCCACGCCATCCAGGAATCCAGGAGAAATCTGTAATGATTTAACGCTCAATCTTACCAAGAGGAATGTGCTAAGGACTGCACATATATACAGAGTTCAACATTTGGTAATATGTTACAGGCTGATAGCTGGTTGGTTAAGGTTTGGACCTATTGCCCGGATGATGTGACCGGATTCCTCGCTACTGGAGACTCACACCCTAGATTGACAGTTTGATAAGCTTCAACAAACTTAGTTAAAGTAACACTGAAAAGTGAGCTACTCAAGATACAGTCCAGGTACGAAGAGGCAGTCAACCAACGCGCAGCTTTATTTTTATGATATGATATGTTTTGATTGTTATTAATAAATACCAAAATTTAAATTTGTTTTCCTAAAAATTTGTTTTCCTAGATTCCAGACTTAAGAATTAGTTGCACGTCGCGTCTGTGTCACTTCTCCTTGGTTGATTCAGTCGAATGATCAGGAAACTGTGATTGATGTAACATAAGTAGCTGTGCATTGCAGCAAAGCCTTTTTTTTTCAACAAAATTTAAGAATGCGTTTTGGTTGAAGCTGAGAACAACCTAAACAAAAAAATGCTTTATGATTCAAATAAAAATTGGATAGCAAATTACCAAGTTATGGATAATTTTATGCCCAAAGTTGGCCCTTTTTATCCATTTTTGCATTGTGATGACTTCATTGCCCCTTTATTTATTAAAGAAGTACCCTAAGTAAAAATTCAACATCTTCCATATTTCCAATACTAAACCATGAAACCTTTAGGATATTCAATATGATGGAGTGAACCGTGAAGGGAATACAAGGGAAGTTCTCTCCCGAACGTTGGGATGGCCTGAGGTGCTTATCTCCTTTTCAGTAACCCTAAGCCACTCTGTGCCGAGACACTATACTAGCTGTAGGGGGGTTAGTCCTACAAGCCAGATGGTGTTTATCACCAGCCGAAGCTGTACCAAATCACAGCTTGACCTGGCCGACTTGCATCCAGATTTGAACCCAGGCCTTCTGCTTGGGAGGCGATCGTATTACCACTACACCACCCGGCCGACACTACACTACCCGGCTGACAAATCAGGATTAGCTGTAATAATATGTTGGTTATCAAATCAGAAATGTCTTTATTAGTCATGAAAGTATTATTACATAATTCAAAATCCTGTACTTGCTTCCCATACAATACTGACATAATACTATGTGAGCCCTCCCTTCGCAATATTATTATAACTTTAATAATTAAAGAGTGATCCAAGCGAAATAACCATTTCATTCAATAGGACATGTAAGATGTGGTGTTGAATCACTGGTGATGATTTGGTGCTTCGTGTTCTCCCTTCTCCAACCTGCTTCATCCAATATTCCTGAAGGGTATCGTGGCTCAAACAGTACGTTTTTTAGTTCAAATAAAACTCTTTCAAAACGTTTTTTCAGGAATTCATTTTTTATTGACTGTAAATCAAGTGTTGAAGGTTTCTTCTTTCCCGATATTGAACGTTAAGCATTGTATGTATTTATCATATCAAATTTTGACTAGTGATATATACAAATAACTCTGTTCAAAATTGCTTAATCTACTTACAGTATTAGAAAATTGTGATGCCTAACTTTTTCTGTTTAGGCCAAAAAATTACAACTTTACTTAGTAGTTACTAACCTTACTAGAGTAGCAGAGAGGAGTTGAGTGTGCACTTCAATGTACACAATTTTTGACCACGCAGGGTCTTTCATTAGGTCATTCCAAACCAAAATCATCTAGGTACCCATTTTGTATCGGTAGTCCCAGTCCTACAGGGCGAAATTTCTAAATTGCCCTCAGGCGCAAATTTGAGATTTTTGTATCTCGGCTTCTAAAAGACTTAGAGACTTGAATATTGGCTTAAAATAACCGCAATACCCTTATTTATATACAAGTTATGAAGCAATATAAGGTTTCAAGTGCCTAGTTTTAAAGATATTCACGAAAAACTGTTTTGTGGCTCATCGCAGCTGGAATTACCGGATTATTTTTACATCTGGAGCTAGAAAGGTCGTAGAAACTTCTCCGATATTGGAAAGTAATTCGCAATGAGCACATTTATATAAGACTTATGAATCATTGTATGCTCTAAAATGCTTATTTGTAGAGATATTAGCAAAAATCGGTAATTTTGGCTTCACCAATACAAATTTGGTAATTCGTTTTGTCTTTTGTTGCAAATTTTCACGTTGCAATTTTCAAGATGCGGTTTGTGGCTATCGATGGGGCTTTATATATGCTATTGTATGGTTTTGATACAATCCTTCAGCACCTAGGACATAGGCAATAGGGGTCTCAAACCCTGAAATGTCAGGAACTGGGCAGTGGCCGAGATAAATATTTGATAATTACTTGGACTCTTGACTCACATTCATCTTTTCAACGGTTAGTTAGACATCTTAAACCAGTATTGAACGTTGAGTGAAACTTCTGATCCATTTGTAGCTCAGGTGATGTGCCCCAGAACAACACACCTGAGTGACAGTGGGCCTTATCGATCATGAGCCGCAAATCACAGTGACTTTGGGCCTCAGAGACAAGGGCATTCGTACTCTTGGCTTAAATTGGCTCTTCGTTAGTATCATCAATCAGGTTTCTAACCTCTAAATCATCTGCCTGTTCATTGTCCATCCGTCTCTTTGAGATTCATTATTACTTCAAGTTTAGTCATTTCGTTTCTGTTCAACTGTAGGCGTAATGAGGGACTTCAGTCCAGCAATAAAGTCAATTCTCTAGATTTAGCAATATTTGGTTGGTTCGCTACTTTAAGGTAATTATGTTCAGCAAGCAAGGTTGTAAGTTTTCAGCCCTACTGCCCCGAAATATTGCCCCCCCCCACCCCCCCCCCCCCCCCAGATCACTAGTAATGCTGGAGCACTAGGTAATGCACATGGGTAATGCTGATTTTTGCTGAACATAGCTCATTTAAAGTTCCTTTATCAGCAGTCTTCCCTATCATACTGGCATATAAACAGATTCACCTCCTTTATCTCTAGATATAATCTTGAACCTGGGCTCTACAGTTATCGAATGTCCACCAACCTCTTTCCCCAATTATTGTCAGCCCAGGACCTCTCTATCACCTGCAACTTTGGGTCTTAGAACTTCGGGCCCAAAGATACCTGTCCCTCAGTGACTCTGTGCCCCACATAATTCTAATTTATGACTCAATGTAAATTGTAAATGCTGAGATGGACATAAGATAACCCGTATCTATCGCTAAATTATTTACTATTATTATTGTATTGCTGTGTAAATTTAATTCTAATTCTAATTATAATTCTGTAGAGCCCAGGTTCAAGATTATATTTAGAGATTAAAGGAGGTGAATCTGTTTATATGCCAGTATGATATGGAAGACTGCTGAAAAAGGAACTTAAAAATGAGATATGCTAAGCAAAAAATCAGCATTACCATGTGCATTACTAGTGCAGAGTGCTCAGCATTACTAGTGTCTGGGGGGGGGGGGGGGGGGGGGGGGGGGGGGGGGGGGGAGGGGAATTAAATTAGAATTAGAATTAAATTTACACAGCAATACAATAAAATAGTAAATAATTAGCGATATGATACGGGTTATCTATACCATCTCAGCATTTACAATTTACATTGAGTCATAAATTAGAATTATTGGGGCACAGAGTCACTGAGGGACAGGTGTCTTTGGGCCCGAAGTTTCTAAGACCCAAAGTTGCAGGTGAATAGAGGTCCTGGGGCTGACAATTTTTGGGGGGTTTTGAGGGTGGTGGAATTCGATTACCTGTAAGTGCCACTCAAGGTGCATGATTATTTTAGACGATTATGGAGGTGAATCTGTTTATATTCCAGTATGATAGTGTAGATGCTGATATAGGAACTTTATAATGAGCTATGTTAAGATTATAATATCAGCATTACCATGTGTATTTTCCTGTGCTCCTGCTTTACTAGTGATCTGGGGGGGGGGGGTGGGGGGGGGGGGGGAGGGGGTGGGGGGGGGGCTATATTTTCGGCGGGCGGCAGTAGGGCTGAAAATTTACACCTTGTGCGTTATGCTGACATAATTACCTTTAAACGTAAGCGAAACCAACCAAATATTGCTAAATCTAGAGATATTGACTTTATTGCTGGACTGAAGGTCCCTCATTTCGCCTACAGTTGACAGAAACGAAATGGGACTAAATTACGTAATATGGAATATCTAAGAGACGGATGGACAATGAAAAGGCAATGATTTGAGGTTAGAAACCTGATTGATGATACTAACGAAGAGCCAATTTAAGCCAAGAGTACGAATGCCCTTGTCTCTGAGGCCCCAAAGTCACTGTGATTTGCGGCTCATGATCGATAAGGCCCACTGTCACTCAGGTGTGTTGTTCTGGGCACATCACCTGAGCTACAAATGGATCAGAAGTTTCACTCAACGTTCAATACTGGTTTAAGATGTCTAACTAACCGTTGAAAAGATGAATGTGAGTCAAGAGTCCAAGTAATTATCAATATTTATCTCGGCCACTGCCCAGTTCCTGACATTTCAGGGTTTGAGACCCCTATTGCCTATGTCCTAGGTGCTGAAGGATTGTATCAAAACCATACAATAGCATATATAAAGCCCCATCGATAGCCACAAACCGCATCTTGAAATTGCAACGTGAAAATTTGCAACAAAAAGACAAAACGAATTACCAAATTTGTATTGGTGAAGCCAAAATTACCGATTTTTGCTAATATCTCTACAAATAAGCATTTTAGAGCATACAATGATTCATAAGTCTTATATAAATGTGCTCATTGCGAATACTTTCCAATATCGGCGAAGTTTCTACGACCTTTCTAGCTCCAGATGTAAAATAATCCGGTAATTCCAGCTGCGATGAGCCAAAAAACAGTTTTTCGCGAATATCTTTAAAACTAGGCACTTGAGACCTTATATTGCTTCATAACTTGTATATAAATAAGGGTATTGCGGTTATTTTAAGCCAATATTCAAGTCTCTAAGTCTTTTAGAAGCCGAGATACAAAAATCCCAAATTTGCGCCTGAGGGCAATTTAGAAATTTCGCCCTGTAGGACTGGGACTACCCGATACAAAATGGGTACCTAGATGATTTTGGTTTGGAATGACCTAATGAAAGACCCTGCGTGGTCAAAAATTGTGTACATTGAAGTGCACACTCAACTCCTCTCTGCTACTAGAGTACCTGCCTCAATTTCAGCAACCAATCCGGCCTGTTACTTTGTCAGTCCTGTGAAGCAAGTTGTAGCCGAAGGTAGCTATGTCGCCCTCAACATAGCCGTTGGTAAGTACTTGCCATGTACATTTTGCTTGTAATTGTCCGTCAGATGGTGGAAATTCTTACATGTATTAAAACTTAGTGTAATCTACAAGGCGTTATTCTAGCAGTGAAAAATATTATGTACGAATATGACCGAGTCACATACAGTGGTCAAATGTGATATTATATTGTGATTATATTCTATGTGAATATAATAAACCTTGACAAAAGATGTACTCAAGATTAACGTTTTAATCAGCTCATCTTTTCTAGGTGGAGATCCGCACCCTGGATCTGACTCCATAGAATGGACTAAAATGAGTGGCGGCGCTTTACCTGCTCCAAGCAATGGCAAACTAAATGTGATCTTCAAAGGTATATTTTTCGAAGAAACTGTGTACATAACACCTTTTTTTGTTGGCACATGACTTTAACGTGATTTTTATTTTTAAAGGGTATAATTAACGGTCATTATAAACTAATTAGTGGTAGACAGTTCAAAGGCCCAAAGAAATTTCCTAGTTTGTCTACCCTACTGATTTACCGTGAAAACCACTAAATGTTTTATTTATGTACAAATTATTAAAATCTAACCCAGAACTTATCATATAGAGGGGGGGGGGGGGGGGGGGGGGTGACATGTCTCCAATGTCTCCCGCACCTTATCTTTTCGAAAAAGACAAAGACATTGGAGACATTGGAGACATTGGAGACATTGGAGACACAGCTTTTGGAGACATTGGAGACATTGGGGACATTGGGGACATTTGGGACATTGAAGACATTGGGGACATTAGGGACATAAAATGGATATTAGGGGCATTGGAGACATTGGAGACACAGCTTTTGGAGACTCCTCCTCCTCCTCCTCCTCCTCCTCCTCCTCCTCCTCCTCCTCCTCCCTCCTCCTCCTCCTCCTCCTCCTCCTCCTCCTCCTCAGTCCTCCTCAGTCGTTCTCCTCCTCCTCCTGAGTCCTCCTCCTGGAACCTTGGTCCTCCTCCTGGGTCCTCCTCCTGGGTCTTCCTCCGGACCTCCTGGGTCCTCCTCCTCCTGGGTCCTCCTCCTCCTCTTCATCCTCCTCCTTTTCCTCCTCAATCATCAAACCTCCTCAATCCTCCTCCTCATCCTTCTCGTCAGTCCTCCTCCTCCTCAGTCCTCCCCAAGTCCCCCTCCTCCTCAGTCCTCCCCCAGTCCCCCTCCTCCTATTCAGTCCTCCTCCTCCTCCTCCTCAGTTCTCCTCAGTCCTCCTCCTTCTCAGTCCTCCTCCTGAGTCCTCTTCCTGAGTCCTCCTCCTGAATCCTCCTCCTCTTCCTGAGTCCTCCTCCTAGGTCCTCCTCCTCCTCCTCCTCCTCCTCCTCAGTCCTTCTCCTCCTCCTCCTCCTCCTCCCTCTCAGTCATCCTCCTCAGCCATCCTCCTCAGCCATCCTCCTCAGCCATCCTCCTCAGCCATCCTCCTCAGCCATCCTCCTCAGCCATCCTCCTCAGCCATCCTCCTCAGCCATCCTCCTCAGCCATCCTCCTCAGCCATCATCCTCAGTACTCCTCAGTCCTCCTCCTCAGTCCTCATCCTCCTCCTCAGTCCTCCTCCTCATCCTTCTCCTTAGTCCTTCTCCTCCTCAGTCCTCCCCAGTCCCCCTCCTCCTCCTATTCACTCCTCCTCCTCCTCCTGAGTTTTCCTGAGTCCTCCTGAGTCCTCCTCCTCCTCCTGAGTCCTCCTCCTGGGTCCTCCTCCTCCTAGGTCCTCCTCCTTCTCCTCCTCAGTCCTTCTCCTCCTTCTCCTCAGTCCTCCTCCTTTTCCTCCTCAATCATCAAACCTCCTCAATCCTCCTCCTCATCCTTCTCGTCAGTCCTCCTCCTCCTCAGTCCTCCCCAAGTCCCCCTCCTCCTCAGTCCTCCCCCAGTCCCCCTCCTCCTATTCAGTCCTCCTCCTCCTCCTCCTCAGTTCTCCTCAGTCCTCCTCCTTCTCAGTCCTCCTCCTGAGTCCTCTTCCTGAGTCCTCCTCCTGAATCCTCCTCCTCTTCCTGAGTCCTCCTCCTAGGTCCTCCTCCTTCTCCTCCTCCTCCTCCTCTTCCTCCTCCTCCTTCCTCTCAGTCATCCTCCTCAGCCATCCTTCTCAGCCATCCTCCTCAGCCATCCTCCTCAGCCATCCTCCTCAGCCATCCTCCTCAGCCATCCTCCTCAGCCATCCTCCTCAGCCATCCTCCTCAGCCATCATCCTCAGTACTCCTCAGTCCTCCTCCTCAGTCCTCATCCTCCTCCTCAGTCCTCCTCCTCATCCTTCTCCTTAGTCCTTCTCCTCCTCAGTCCTCCCCAGTCCCCCTCCTCCTCCTATTCACTCCTCCTCCTCCTCCTGAGTTTTCCTGAGTCCTCCTGAGTCCTCCTCCTCCTCCTGAGTCCTCCTCCTGGGTCCTCCTCCTCCTAGGTCCTCCTCCTTCTCCTCCTCAGTCCTTCTCCTCCTTCTCCTCAGTCCTCCTCCTCCTCCCTGTCAGTCATCCTCCTCAGCCATCCTCCTCAGTCCTCCTCCTCCTCCTGGCTCCTCAGTCCTCATCCTCAGGCCTCCTCTTCAGTCCTCCTCCTCCTGGGTCCTCTTCATCCTCCTCCTCTTCCTCCTCAGTCCTCAGTCCGCCTCCTCATCCTTCTCGTCAGTCCTCCTCCTCATCAGTCCTCCCCAGTCCCCCTCCTCCTCCTCCTCCTATTCAGTCTTCCTCCTCCTCCTATTCAGTCCTCCTCCTTCTCATTCCTCCTCAGTCCTCCTCAGTCGTTCTACTCCTCCTCCTGAGTCCTCCTCCTGGGACCTTGGTCCTCCTCCTGGGTCCTCCTCCGGACCTCCTGGGTCCTCCTCCTCCTGGGTCCTCCTCCTCCTCTTCATCCTCCTCCTCTTCCTCCTCAATCATCAGTCCTCCTCAATCCTCCTCCTCATCCTTCTCATCAGTCCTCCTCCTCCTCAGTCCTCCCCAAGTCCCCCTCCTCCTCAGTCCTCCCCAGTCCCCCTCCTCCTATTCAGTCCTCCTCCTCCTCCTCAGTTCTCCTCAGTCCTCCTCCTTCTCAGTCCTCCTCCTGAGTCCTCTTCCTGATTCCTCCTCCTTCTCCTCCTCCATTTCCTGAGTCCTCCTCCTCCTAGGTCCTCCTCCTTCTCCTCCTCCTCCTCCTCAGTCCTTCTCCTCCTCCTCCTCCTCCTCCCTCTCAGTCATCCTCCTCAGTCATCCTCCTCAGCCATCCTCCTCAGCCATCCTCCTCAGCCATCCTCCTCAGCCATCCTCCTCAGCCATCCTCCTCAGCCATCATCCTCAGTACTCCTCAGTCCTCCTCCTCAGTCCTCATCCTCCTCTTCAGTCCTCCTCCTCATCCTTCTCCTTAGTCCTTCTCCTCCTCAGTCCTCCCCAGTCCCACTCCTCCTCCTATTCACTCCTCCTCCTCAGTTTTCCTGAGTCCTCCTCCTCCTCCTGGGTCCTCCTCCTCCTAGGTCCTCCTCCTTCTCCTCCTCAGTCCTTCTCCTCCTTCTCCTCAGTCCTCCTCCTCCTCCCTGTCAGTCATCCTCCTCAGCCATCCTCCTCAGTCCTCCTCCTCCTCCTGGCTCCTCAGTCCTCATCCTCAGGCCTCCTCTTCAGTCCTCCTCCTCCTGGGTCCTCTTCATCCTCCTCCTCTTCCTCCTCAGTCCTCAGTCCGCCTCCTCATCCTTCTCGTCAGTCCTCCTCCTCCTCAGTCCTCCCAAGTCCCCCTCCTCCTCCTCCTATTCAGTCTTCCTCCTCCTCCTATTCAGTCCTCCTCCTTCTCATTCCTCCTAAGTCCTCCTCCTGAGTCCTCCTCCTCTTCCTCCTGAGTCCTCCTCCTGGTTCATCCTCCTCCTAGTTCCTCCACCTTCTCCTTCTCCTCCTCAGTCCTTCTCATCCTGCTCCTCCTCCTCAGTCATCCTCTTCAGTACTCCTCCTTCTCAGTCTTCCTCAGTCCTCTTCCTGAGTTCTCCTCCTCCTCCTGAGTCCTCCTTCTGGGTCCTCCTCCTCCTAGGTCCTCCTCCTTCTCCTCCTCAGTCCTACTCCTCCTCCTCAGTCCTCTTCCTCCTCCTCCTTCCTCTCAGTCATCCTCCTCAGCCATTCTCCTCAGCCATCCTCCTCAGTCCTCATCCTCCTCCTCAGTCCTCCTCCTCCTGGGTCTTCCTCCTCTTCATCCTCCTCAGTCCTCAGTCCTCCTCCTCAACCTTCTCGTCAGTCTTCTTCATCCTCAGTCCTCCCCAGTCCCCCCTCCTCCTCCTCCTCCTATTCAGTCCTCCTCCTCCTCAGTTCTCCTCAGTCCTCTTCCTTTTCAGTCCTCCTGAGTCTTCCTCCTGAGTCCTCATCCTCCTAGGTCCTCCTCCTTCTCCTTCTCCTCAGTCCTTCTCCTCCCTCTCAGTCATCCTCCTCAGTCATCCTATTCAGCCACCCTCTTCAGTACTCCTCAGTCCTCCTCCTTCTCTGTCCTCCTCCTTCTCTGTCCTCCTCAGTCCTCTTCCTGAGTCCTCCTCCTAGGTCTTCCTCCTCATCATCCTCCTCAGTTCTCAGTCCTCCTCCTCAGTCCTCCTCCTCATCCTTCTCGTCAGTCTTCTTCATCCTCAGTCCTCCCCCAGTCCCCCTCCTCCTCCTCCTATTCAGTCCTCTTCCTCCTCAGTTCTCCTCAGTCCTCTTCCTTTTCAGTCCTCCTGAGTCCTCCTCCTCCTCTTCCTCCTGAGTCCTCCTCCTGGGTCCTCATCCTCCTAGGTCTTCCTCCTTCTCCTTCTCCTCAGTCCTTCTTCTCCTCCTCCTCCCTATCAGTCATCCTCCTCAGTCATCCTCCTCAGCCATCCTCCTCAGTACTCCTCAGTTTTCCTCCTTCTCTGTCCTCCTCAGTCCTCTTCCTGAGTCCTCCTCCTCCTCCTGAGTCCTCCTCCTGGGTCCTCCTCCTCTTGGGTCCTCCTCCTCCTAGGTCCTCCTCTCAGTCATCCTCCTCAGCCATCCTCCTCAGCCATCCTCCACAGCCATCCTCCTCAGCCATCCTCCTCAGTACTCCTCAGTCCTCCTCCTTCTCAGTCCTCCTGAGTCCTCTTCCTGAGTCCTCCTCCTGAGTCCTCATCCTCCTCCTTCTCCTCCTGAGTACTCCTCCTGGGTCATCCTCCTCCTAGATCCTCCTCCTTCTCCAATCATACATCTACGTCTCCAGTGTCTCCAATGTCTCCAATGTCTCCAAAAGCTTTGTCTCCAATGTCTCCAATGTCCCCAATGTCTCCAATGTCTCCAATGTCTCCAAAAGCTGTGTCTCCAATGTCTCCAATGTCTCCAGGACATGTCTCTGCACCCTATCTTTTCAAAAAAGACAAAAGACATTGGAGACATTGGCGACATGTCACCCCCCCCCCCTATAGATGTCAAAATTTGTAAATGTAACATGTCTCATACACATCGTATTGAAATAATAAGCATGATTTTATAATTAGCTAATTTTATAACTAATTAAATAAGGCTCATACAATTTATCAAATATATTACAGGCATAAAGGAAGTTAACGAAGGGACCTACCGAGTTTTCGTCTCAACATCAGCCGGGATAAAAATAATCGACACTGTGATAGACATCAGACCACGTTAGTCACAAATTTATCAATTTAATTTATCAAAAATACCACTTTCTCCGTATACATATAATATTCGTACTTACAAGTTACAATCTTCAGTTGCTGGAAATATCTTCACCTCTCAACATGTTTAATGTTTACACTATTTTCACCGTGTATAATATTCATCACGTATGATTGAATTTGTCACCACTTGATCCCATGATGTTTCTCAAAGTTGCGCGTGATTTAAAAGATACACTTTATATCTAGACGAGTATCAGAAGTAGTTTCCTCCTTTCACCGCCTCCCTTCTTTCACCGCCTCCCTTATCTACATTTAATAAACTGCTTCTTTTCAACACCAATCTAGAAAGGGTAGAAATTAAAGAAGGGAATGTTCATTTAAAATAGTTTAAAACTTTAAAATAGTCCATTATTATGAATTCTAGGAAGACCCTGATCTCGAGAAGCCATCAAACTAAGGCCTGGCTGAGACCGACATCCTGGAATTAATCTACTCTGAGGACTATTTATATTCTGGCTACGATAATCTGAACTATAACGAATTTCAGGGCATTTTCTGATCCACAGTTATGATTTGCTTTGTATATGCTCATTAAACTGTAGCTTTGAAATGTCTGCTTTAAAAAATCAAACGCTTCTCCAATTTGTTTACAGTACATAACAGACGACAGCGATTATCACGGTTTTGAAAAATCGAATAAATCATTGCGCCCGTCTGTATGAATTGACGGGAAACCAAACACTGAAATACACAGCGAACCGTGCCCGCAATGGACCCATAAAATCGTACATTAATGTGGTGTGAAATTGTTGAAGTTTCTCCAGACAGTGCAGCTCTGTGTCTTACATTGTCACACAGTATCACACCGTCACACTGTCACGGCATCACACTGTGTCACATTGTGTCACACATAATCACACTGTGTCACACTTTGTCACAGTGTCACACCGTGTTTATAGTCAGAACTTACCACATCATTGTTCCTAATAACATGAACCTTTTAGCCTTATCTTTCCTTTCCTTATCTTTATTAGCCCCTCCCAAAAGCTATCCTCTCTATAACTGTTCTATCACTCGTTATCAGTTACACCGAGTTTTGTAATGTTTCTTTTAGTTAAATATCTAATGGCGACAGTTGCCTAAATAACATGGTTAATGCCACAATAACCTGGTTACAGTGACAGTTACCAGGTTACAGTGACAGTTACCTGGTTACAGTTACCTGGTGACAGTTACCTGGTTACGGAGACCTTATTTTAGTGACAGTGTTCCAACTCAGGCTTCATATTTCATAACAGGATATACCTTGTCTTTTAATAAAGTTTAAACGACCTGAGCTGAGTATATAATATATAATACTGTATTGTAAGTAAACCAGTATATTGAATTACTAATACTGGCTCGTGTAGGTTACAATATGTCTTGTAAGAAGCCCAGTGCTAGTCACAGCTTGAAGCGTATCATCACTCTCAAAGCTCAATTATCAAATTACACCCACTAATTACATCATTAATTTCTCTTTTGAGACACCGAATTTGAGCTCCAGATATACTTTAGATCAAGATACAGTATTTGTACGTCTGATCTAGTTCAGTGTATTAACCACTTCACCTGTGTAGTGTGTACACTTCACACTATCATGATCACGTGATACATTTGAGGAGACTTTCCTAACACGACCTCTCTCTCTCTCTCTCTCTCTCTCTCTCTCTCTCTCTCTCTCTCTCTCTCTCTCTCTCTCTCTCTCTCTCTCTCTCTCTCTCTCTCTCTCTCTCTCTCTCTCTCTCTCTCTCTCTCTCTCTCTCTCTCTCTCTCTCTCTCTCTCTCTCTCTCTCTCTCTCTCTCTCTCTCTCTCTCTCTCTCTCTCTCTCTCTCTCTCTCTCTCTCTCTCTCTCTCTCTCTCTCTCTCTCTCTCTCTCTCTCTCTCTCTCTCTCTCTCTCTCTCTCTCTCTCTCTCTCTCTCTCTCTCTCTCTCTCTCTCTCTCTCTCTCTCTCTCTCTCTCTCTCTCTCTCTCTCTCTCTCTCTCTCTCTCTCTCTCTCTCTCTCTCTCTCTCTCTCTCTCTCTCTCTCTCTCTCTCTCTCTCTCTCTCTCTCTCTCTCTCTCTCTCTCTCTCTCTCTCTCTCTCTCTGTCTCAGCTCAGTGAACTACTGTCTGTCTACACTGTAGACCTGGCAATAAATGTTACACAGACATTATAAGTTAGAGTGGATAATGTGAGCTGTCTGCGCTGGTTTTATTGTTATATTATGTAGTATAGATAATGTAATGTAAAATGGCAGTAATACCTTCCCTTTATAAACTAACTTATATACTATAATAATTATATATTATAATATTCCCGAGTAAGGTATATATACCTTACTCGGGAATATTATAGCGGGTTAATTTATGACTGGGAAAATTAATGACCGGGAAAAATATGGCGGAATTTTCCAAAACCCACCAAGCATCAAAATGTATTACTATCAGTTTACCTTACTCGGGAACATTATAGCGGGTTAATTTATGACTGGGAAAATTAATGACCGGGAAAAATATTGCGGAATTTTCCAAAACCCACCATTTTATCCCAGTCATAATATTCCCGAGTAAGGTAGTTAGAATTTAGATAATATAATGCACTGTAAACTTACAACTAATGTTATATAATGTGGTAATTTGGTATTGGGGTATTGGTTATGGGAGTTACATAGTTATACTATGTTATGTAGTATTCGCAACGGAGAAATGGTTGCTGTAAGTATTTCTGTAATACCTGAATTCAAGTTATATTAACTTTTAGAATGTGTGTGTGTGTGATTGCTAGTTGAATTTGAACAACTATCAAAGCCGGATATTACAAAAGAAGAACAAAAGAGAGAATTATTTATGAAGGAGAACTATTGGATTGTAGGTATGGCACGCCTTTTCCCGTTAGGGAACTGGTCGAATTAGATTTAGGAAACAGAATATTATATATTACTGTATTGAATAAAAAGGAATAAAAGAGACATTCATTGTTGTTGAATGAACAAGTGAGAGAAAGGAGTAAAATCTATCGCAATGAATATTGAATAGTATTGGAATGTTGAATAGTATTGGAATCTTCATGGCTATTTTACCAACTGAAATATTCGGGATTAAGCTGAAAGTAACAAAGTTTTGAGTGACATTAAGTTGAATAAATGTCCTGTCTAGTGAGTTATGTAACACAAGGAGACCGGAAATGTCAGCAAATGTCACACCTAGGACAGATGATAGAAACCGTCACTAAGCTCACATTTACTTTGTTATTCAGAAATATGAGGAATTTCATCTTACTCACAACTAAGTTAATATCAAATTTAAGGTGATTTTCAGAGGCCTGTAAAGTTTCATCGGTGTATTTGACACTCGTCAATATTATACAACTATTTCCGTGGCATTGGTGCGGACAGTAATATTTTCTGTGAAGAAGTTATAAAATTTGAAATGTTGCCACCTAACAGTGTACTTGGTAGAACCTTGGGGGCGAGAATATAACGTCTAGTCACTGGCTACTGGCTACTGAGTAGTTTACCCAAATAACAAATGAGGAAAGGCCACGGTTATGAGTCCCAAATTGTAAGAATGACCGGCAGTAAAGTAATATACAAAATGTACACCACTTATTTACCAACCACGTGACATATATGTAAAATCCTGACAAATCTTTAGTTTGGGATTTATAAATACCGCCAAATCTTTCGTCTGTGAAGATTGTGACTACAACCATTTGGCCACTCACGGCTGAACTCTCAAATTACCTACTGAGTTTCTGTAATTAAATAACGCATGAAACTACGATAGAATGATCGAGAATTCCTCCTCCAGTTGATTATTCTTCCAGGCGGATTATTGTTGTGGTACACAGGTGGTCCCTAATCGGCACAGAGTCAAATAAACAATGAACATGTTACTCGTCTGAGTGAAATGAACATGTTACTCGTCTGAGTGAAATGAACATGTTACTATTATAATACTGGTTATTGGTTAAGACTTGTTACTATTGTGCTTGTGAGGAACTCTTACTGTAATTACACTCGCACAGCCGAGTATATAAACACGTCACGTGTGTGACGTCACACTCCCTCACGTGACGTCACACTCCCTCACGTGACGTCACACTCCCTCACGTGACGTCACACTCCCTCACGTGACGTCACACTCCCTCACGTGACGTCACACTCCCTCACGTGACGTCACACTCCCTCACGATCGAGTGTAATATACTTGTCTCGCTATAAGGAAGGTTAATCGAACAAACCACAAGAACATACTGGTAGTAGGAGGAGAAACATGTCAATTATACTGTCACGTGACTTAATACAGCTTGTTGATCAGGAGTTGGCTATTATTGTGATTTAAATTTACATGACAAAGTAAATTATAATAATTATGATTTACACCAGTCACAGAGTCACATACAATAAATCATAATATACAGTGCCTCCCTGCAAATAATTAGCATTATAACTACTATTATAATTGATATTATTATAGTTAAGCATGAGCTGCTTACAGCGAAGTAGCTGTAATTCTGATTGTGAGCAGCAGCGGAGTGGGTGCCCTATCATTTGTGGATAAAACTGGTCTCTTGGGAATATAACAAATAGTTTTGTTGACAGGAGTAATGCAGCTTGACGTAACTCAGTATGTGTTAATAAATCAGCGTTATTATAAGCTCTAACATTACGACTGTAGATGTAGTATGTTAGTGTCACGTGGTGTCGTTGTCACGTGGGCGGTGGGAGGGAGGATGGAAGTGTTATACTCACGTCTAGTCTTTCAACGCTATTATCAGGCAATAAAAATTATTAGAGAAGTTCCCAAAGTTGAAGAAGTTAGACTCCAAAAAACTTGTTTTGACTAACTTACCAACAGAAATAATAAGAAACAGAAATAATAAGAAAATAAAAACGTCTTGTGAAGGTTTAGACTAATGGATTAGACTAAAAACAGAGTGTTCCCAGCCACCTCTCTATGATGTAATGTTTGTGTCTA